GCTGCCCCATCCCTGGCAGTGTTGAAGGGCAGGTTGGATGGGGCTTGGAGCAACCTGGGCTGGTGGGAGGTGTCCCTGCCCATGCAGGGGGTTGGAAATAGATGATCCCTAAGGTCCCTTCCAACCCAAACCATTCTGTGATTCCATGAAAATCAATATCCCTTGAAGTCATCCTACTACCAACCACTTAGGAGTGAATCAGTGAGAATTAAGTAACAGGAAATCCAAGCAGAGACCCTTTGCTGTGCCACCCTCAGCTGGTGTGTCATGCCCTGTCTGTTTACAGATGTTGTACTTGCTCTGACTGTCTCCTTTGGAAAGCTGGTGTCTGAACTTTCCATCCTCCTGCTCTGTCATGTCCTTATCAGCCTGGGGTCCCATTATCTATCTGGAGTGTTGTCTCCAGGCAAGCCTGGTGTGCACTGTCTTAACTTCATCTCCTTTCTTTTCCCTCAGCTGAACTTTGACTTGGATCGTGGGGTGTTCCCTGTGGTCATCCGGGCGGTGGTGGATGAAGGGGATGGTAAGTTTGGTGGTTTGCTGCTCCCTTGGTCTTCTCCTGCCTCCTTTTGGGCTTGTGTGACTCCTTCTGCAATGGGGAAAACCATCTTACTCTCAGCCAAGGCTTGGGGAGCCTTTCCAGAATGAAAATATTCCAGGACTTCACCTTCACTTCCATGTGTGAGAGGTCCCAACTCACCACGGGTGCTCACAGGAAAACATCCTGGTAAAAATCACCTCCATTTTTTACTGGCCAATTAGTGTTGGGATGATGTTCAGGAGAGGTCCTGCCTCTGCCACCACTGCCAGGCACAAACTGGAGCAAGTGACTTCCTCTCTCTCTGAATTTTTCAAGGAGGGAACTGGTCTTTTCCCCTCTTTGGGGGATAAATTGTCCTCATAAAACCTTTGCCTCACTAGGGTGGATTTTCCCCTAGGAACAGGAAAAGAAAAGGCTCTAAAATGCTTTGTATTCAACAAAATCCATCTTTGTTCAGCAGTTGGAAATTCTCCTGCTTTTTCTGAAGGGTGCAGAGTCTTTACAAGAAACCAGCATAACCTGTGATGAGAAATAAGAATATTGCTGATTTGTTTTTCTTAAACCATGTTGTCATTTTGGAGTGGGAAGTCCAGCAGGTGTGGGAGGCTGTTGTGGTCAGCAGGAGCAGCATTTCCCTTCTGCATTTTGTCATGTTTGGTACAAAATTTAAGAATAATCAGAAAGGGGGGGGAAAAAAAAAAAAAAAGCCCATTATTGATGCATTTAGTGCAGTCATTGTGCTCAGTTTCTTATGTTGTAGATGTCAGAGTGTCCAGAAATTGGTTGCATTATTGGACAGTCCTCCAAGCAGGCTGAAATAGAACTGGATGAACCAATTTTAGCAAAGCAGGGAGCAACAGAAAGGAAATTAGTTCTTAAGTGCATCTATTTTTAGTGATTTCAGGCACTGCTAGTAAAATTGACATGTATGTATATTTCCTGACCACAAATATAAAACACCTTCCTCTAATTTTATGGAGCTTTTGGTGAGATATTTGTACTTTCTAATGTTGAAGGACCAAAAATAGAGCAGGGGGCAGCATGGGAAGCACAGATTTATGCACATACCACGGCCAGTCTTAGCCAAGGTGGACTGTCCCCTACCTTAATAACCTGGAAAGGCAATTGCTTTTAAATCCCCTACTGGAAAGAACATCAGCACAAAAATATGTGACATTTAAGAGAGACAGGAGGAGATGGTTGTGTATTTTGGTTCTTTTTTTAACTGCCTGGAACTGGAACGAGCTGGCTTGGTGTGTTTGGAGCACCTGGGAAATGACAGGCAGCCTGTAACTGCTTGTGTTCAATGAAATGGAATGTCAAATTAAAATAGCAGTCAGCAAGATGCTGGTTGGGACTGAATTCTGCCAGGAAATGCCTTGAAGAGCATGAGGCTAGGAAGGGAGGTGTTGCCTGTTCTCTCTTGGCTGTTCCAACTGTGGAGAGGGACCTGAATGTCACTGAGTGAGCTTAGAACATCCTTGCTCTGGGCTGGCAGTGGGGGGAGCAAGGAGGTGAATTCCCAGCCTGAGCCTCTTTCCTGCCTGCTCTTCTGTTCCTGATTGCACCAAACTGCTGTGACCCATCCCAGTTGCCCAACAAACCTGCAAACATGGGCTTTCTTCTCCCATTCTCTGCTGTTTCCAGACATGACCCAGTGAATGGATCCTCTTGTCTCTGCTGGCCTGGGAGCCCAAGGGAAGCTCTGGAGCTCCTCTCCCTTTTAGACAACCCAGGAGCTCCTTCCTTCAGCTGTTCCCTTTCTGGCACAAAGCTGAGGGAAGTGTTTCCCAGCTCTCCTGCATGTGCTGAACCCAAGCCTTTCTGAGTGACTCCTCCATCACCTCCAGCTCTCATTTCCACAGGATGAGTCTCAACCTCCTTAAGCAAAAGGCTCCAACCAGTTGATGCTGAACAGAACCTCAGTGTCTTGCACCAGAGAGAGGGGGCTTGTAGCTCTAGTCTGTGTTTGGATTTGCTGAGGGAGCCATGGATGCAGTGCAGAAACCTCTGGCAGCTCCTTTTCAGTGCTGAGGGGTTGAATCCTTGAGTTTGGAAGAGGGGAAGACATGATGTTTGTCTTTGGGGAAAAGATCAGAGATGTTTCAGGGTCCAAAATTGGTATGAGAAAGAAAATGTTTTATAAGCACATCAGATTAGAGTGAAATAAAGTGATAAGTACCAGGGCTGGAAGTGCTGCCAACTGCTGTTAAACCAGATGGATTTGTTAATCTCTGTGATACATTTAGGTAATTAAAACCAGACATTTGAGGAGAAGACAGCATCCCACTGAGCTCTTTGTTTTCCTTTCCCTTTCCAAGCTCTGAAGATAAAGTGGGATAGTTTGGCGCACCCAAAATGATGAAAGCAGGTCTGTATAGGGCCCACCAGAGAGAGCCCTGCAGGGGTTTGTTTCTGCTCTGCAGGAGTGTGAGATCAACCAGCCTGACAACGAGATAAGAGTAGTTTAAATTGTAAGAGGAGATAAAATAGAGCAGGTATTGTCTTAGAAATTGTAAATGGCCTAAAATCCACCTTGGGGTAGTTCTGTGCTTGTGCTGTTTTCAAGGTTTAACCAGGACTGCTCTTTATTTTTGCAGTGGTGGTTGAGGTGACGGGCCATGCCCATGTTCTTCTGGCTGCATTTGAAAAGGTAAAGGAGTTCCTTTTCCCCTCTGTCCCTGTACATGTAAACATTTCCATGGGTCATTAGTTTGTGTAACACTGAGCACAGAGGAGTCCTGACCCGTGACTGGGCTTCCCAGTGCTGTTGTAGTCCAAATAATTGCTTGCAGCAGCTTCTGTGTACCCTATAATTATCAGTTGTACCTGAGCTGGTCACTCAGCTAATGGGGGGGCTGGTGTTTCCTGTTTGTGGGGAGAGGGTGTGGCAGTGCCTGGGATGTTTGAGGGTGGGAACTGCTGCCCTGCAGTTTTCTGGGCCTTGTGATGTCTCTGCAGCACTGGATGTGTCGTGGCCAGACCCTGTTGCACCAGAATTTGGCCTTAGTTTACAGGGAGCACCAAACCCTTGGAAAAGAATTAGGATACATCCTGCATAAAGACTTGAAGCTCCCCCACTTTTGGGTGGCATGTTTGATGGAGCTGACTGCTGGTAAGGCCAAGCCAGGCTGTACACACAAGCCTTGATAACAAAATCTCTCTCCCTGATAATTGGACCCTGAAAACAGTTGCAAGACCCATGTTGTGTCTGGATCCTGCAGACATAATCTTGGGCAAGAGATACTTCTTGTGACATGCTGAGGTGAGGCAAGAGATGCTGGAGCAGAGCTGGAAATGCAGAGGGGAGCAGCACTGATGCTGTGCTGTTAGAAATTCCCAACACTTCCAGGCTGGCATGTGGACTGACTTCTGTTTCAATTCCTGCTGTAGGCCTGAGCATGTTGACAGATGATTTTCTGTTCCTCCTGGGTGGATAATGTGGATGGTGAGAAGCTGAGTCAGAGGGCACAGGAAGCACAGTCAGTCCCAAGGAAGCCCTCTGGCTGGAAGGTGCTCTGGGCTGATTTTTTGTTGGGCTTGGTATGTGAAGAAAATGAGTTTTCTTGTGTTAGAAGAGCTGCTCTGAGCACTGGCCCTGCAGGTGGTTCTACTCTTGGCAGTTAAGAGATCAGTCAGAAGTGAGATGGGCAGCTGAAGCTCCCCTAGGATTAGGGCAGGGATGTTATTCTTTATTTTCCTACTCCAGCTGATCTGGAAAAACAACACAGGCTGGAATCCCTGTCATTGTTCAGCAGCACCTGGCAGAGAACTGTGTGGGCAGTGGGGCCCTGGGGAAGGCTGCAGTGTTTGGATCCCATCTCTCCTCTGGGTGGGAAAGTGCTGGCTCTGGGCTGATTTTTTGTTGGGCTTGGTATGTGAAGAAAATGAGTTTTCCTGTGTTAGAAGAGCTGCTCTGAGCACTGGCCCTGCAGGTGGTTCTACTCTTGGCAGTTAGAGATCAGTCAGAAGTGAGATGGGCAGCTGAAGCTCCCCTAGGATTAGGGCAGGGATGTTATTCTTTATTTTCCTCCTCCAGCTGATCTGGAAAAACAACACAGGCTGGAATCCCTGTCATTGTTCAGCAGCACCTGGCAGAGAACTGTGTGGGCAGTGGGGCCCTGGGGAAGGCTGCAGTGTTTGGATCCCATCTCTCCTCTGGGTGGGAAAGTGCTGGAGATAAAGAATCCCTGGCCTTGCCAAAAATGATTGTTCAGCTATTTCTGAGGAGAGGAAAACAGATGAGACCAGCAGCTTCCTGCATGGATTTTTGAAGGATCCCACAAGTGTTTGCCTTCCTCAACTGTGAGACTCAGCTCTGCTCCCCTGGCTGTTGCCTTCCCAGCTTGGTGGTGGGAGCCAGCTTCAGGTTTGCCTTTGGATCTGATGATGCAAGTGGGGTTTTTACTCAGAATGGAGTGTTTCTAGTTGCTGGTTTACAAGTATCCAAACCCAGTGCTGTTGCAGTGAGCCCAGCCTTTGTGGTCAGGGAGTAGAGCTCTTCCCTTGGACCTGGGTTTGTCCCAGCTTCCTGTTGTAGCATCCTGTGGCCAGCACTTGATGATAGCACCTTATGGAAGGCAGGAAAACACACACCTATTGGAATGTGTCAGCAAAAGTGAAGCTTTAGGATTTCTGTATTGTGAGATTGGAAAGTGACTTGAACTGCTCCAGCTTTGGAAAGAGGATTCCAAGGATTTTTGGGCAAATTCCATGTGCAGAACCTCTGAGCTCTCTGGAAGGACAAACTTGATGGCAGAATCCCCCTTCATGTCCAGGGAGCTGAAGGAAGAAGGCAGCAAAACTGGGACCCAACTGCAGCTAGTCAGGCCATTCCATCAGTTCTGGGTTATGTCCCATGTCCAGGTCTTAGCTCAAGGATTCAAAAGGCTTCCCTACTTTTTCCAATCTGTGCTGTGGGAGGGAGATGCTCTCTGGTGGGGCCACTTCTCTGCCACTGAATGCTTCCAACAAGATCAAAATCTTCCTTTTTATTAAAAGTCAAAAGGCAAAGTGCTTGCAGACTTCTTCCTTATCCCTGTTTGATGAAAATATTTTCCCCATCCTTAGAATAATTGCAGCTTTTGAAGTGTAGCTCCATAAATCCAGAGGGGGCCCTTGCTTATAAGCCCTGCTGGTGATCACCAGAGCCTGCTCAGAGGCCAGACAGACCAGCAGGCCTTGGTAACTTGCTCTTGATATGGATTTTAGAAATCAGAGCAGTAACTTTGATGCTGACTTGGCACTTGGTGTTCACCTGGAAAATAGGATTGTTGTGTTTTTTTGGAGCTTTTGTCCTTCCTAAACTCCCTCAGTGAACAGCCCCACCTGCTGAAGTTTCCCCCAGATGTCCTGTCCTGCTCTGTAGACTCCAGCAGAGGAGGTGGTTGAGCTCAGTGTAGTTGGCCCTTGTGAATGATGGGGACACCAGAAGCAGCACAGTGTTCCTGTCACCAGGTCCCACACCAGGAATAGGGTTGTTCCAGCAGTGCCAGCCCTGAGCAAATGAAGCTCAGGTGGGCTCAGAAGGTGCCTGTGGAGCACAAGTGACTCGTTTCCAATGTCATCTGGTGGACCAGCCTTGTTCTCAGCCCCCTGCTCTGCTGGGACTCTCTGCCTCTGGAGCTGGGTCTTCTTTAGGGTGTTCACAAACACCCCTGCCAACTCTGGCTGGCCTGGTGAAGAAGTGTTTGCACCCAGTTGGACTGATGCAACCTGAGAGCACCCAGTGGGTTTTTGTGTGTGCTCTGACCCACTTCAGCCAGGTGGAACTTCAGCCAAGCCCATCTCCTGCTGCAGTGGGGCAGAGGAGGAGCCCTCCAGTTCCCTGTTCCACCAACTCCCCTGGGAGCCACTGCCCACCAGGCTGTCCCAGTGGCACCTACACCACCCTTCTCTTAGGCAGCAGACAGTGACCATCATGAGTCTGTTCTACTCTTTATTTACACACTTCAGCTGTTTAACTCATGTCCTTTTTTTCCTGCTAGCACGTTGATGGCAGTTTCTCCGTGAAGCCCTTAAAACAGAAGCAGATTGTAAGTACCTGGTTCCTCTCTACTGCTTAATTAAAGCCATCTCCTGGTGTCCCATGGGTGTCCAGGCTCTACCCAGTGGGAAACTTCTATGTTCATTCACTGGGAGCCTGAGATCTCACCTTGTTGGCTCAGGTACCACAAGCAAAGGCACAGTGAGCTGCTGGCAGCCCTGGGGGGGTTGTTGCACAGCTAGATGTGTGTTGGGGGCACAGATGTGGCAGGGCAAGGGTGAGGGTCTCTGGGCTGCTCTGGGAGGCATCACTATGCACAGATCCTGTCTTCCTGTCTTCCCTGTATGTTCCTCCTCTGCTGGAATTTGGCACTTGGATAGAAAACTGGCAGAGGCCCTGGGCATCCCACGGGATGGATGGTTTGTGTCTGTGGAGGTGCAAATCAATCAGGTGTGTGCAATGGAGCTTCAGAGCTTCAGCAGCATGAGGTACATCTGTTGATGTTGCACTGCCACATCTCCTTCACTCTGTGTCTTCTGGTGTGGAAGGAAATCTCTGCAGGCTCCCTGTGTCCCACCTGGAGGCTGAAAACTTTCCATACAGCTTTGTTGAGATATATGGGGATCATCTCCCTGCACAAGCTTCCTTCTTGTCCTTGGTATCTTTGGAGCAGTCCTGGGGCTGAGACCTTTTGGCTCACCTTGCCTGTCCCCTCTGAGTATCCTGGGACTTGAGCAGTCACAGAAAACCTCTTGCTTTAAAGCTGTTTATGTACCAGCTGCAGGTGTCAGGAGGGCAAGGGCAGAAGGTAGAGTGGCTAACAGGGAAGCATCAAGGATCTGAAGCCCTTTTTTAGCCCAGCCCAGGGTGGTGTCTTGCACAGAAACTCTGCACAACATTCATGAGCTGCTGAAAAGCTGCTCATTTATCTTGATCATGGGGTTGAAGTTTATAATTGTTTAGAAAGGGCAGTTTCCTGGCTGGGAGCTCTCTGAGCTGGTGCTGGGGTGCTGTGCACCCAGTGTGTACCATTCTCCACCTGGCCCTCCAGGCTCCCCAGGGAGGGGGCTGTCTTGCTGGAAGTGCTCTCCAGGGGAGTTCCCACCCTACCACAGGCTGGTGAGCTGACTCCTGCAGAGAAACAGGGTGTGCTTGTCTGTCTTTACTGGCAGATCATGTCACCTTCCCACTCAGTGTTTGGTTGTGGGTACTTCTTTATTTTCTACTGGCAGTTTGTAAGAAATGATGCTTGTGTGTTCCCTCTCATGGCTTTGAAAACAGAAGGAAGCTCTTGCTAGAAGAACACCCAGTACCACTGAAACCCAGACAGCATCTGCAGCCATAAGAGCAGAGGTATAGAGTAAATGTCTGCAGTGTAACATGGCACATTCTTCCCCATCATTGCTTTTCTTTTGCCTTCCCCTCCTTGCCATTGCCAGGATTCCCAGGTACCTTTTGTGGGCCTCCATCTCTAGAGCTGTTTTGGGAGCAGGAAGCAGCAGCTCATGAGCTGAACTACTTTGTTCTCTCAGCTGAGTTAGTGTGTTTCTACCAACCTGTTTCAAGAAACTCAACAGGGGTGAATGCAAACAGATGGAGCAGCAAAAAACCCCATGACCTGGACGTGGCTGGTGGCTCCTATGAGCTGAGGCTGTAGATAGGAACAGAGCCTTTGGCAGGGTGTCATGGTGGGGATGGGCTGGAGAAGTGGGAAGGTGAAGAATTGCATTGTGTGCAGTCACCTACTCCTTATTGAATCCTACTCTTTTTAAAACCTGGAGATCTTTCTAGGAAGAGCCACGTTGCTTTGCTTACACTTCTCCTTCTGGGACATGAGCTTCTCAAGAGTTTTAGAGTCAGGCAGTTAAAACCAAACATCAGCTCCTGGAGAGGCTTTGGTCTCTTCCTTCCTCACCTCCTCTGTGCTTTGAGGTGACCACTCCTGCACTCACTGCTGCTCATCATGAGCCTCCAAGGAGTCAGGGTGCTCAGGGTGCTGTCACCAGGCTCACTTTGAAATGTCAAGTTCCAAAAGGACATCTCCCACATCATTGTTCCCAAACTTCCTGGGTGAGCTGTGAGCTGCTGCAGAGGGTTTTGCTCAGCAGTCCAGCAGCTGAGCTCATTGCTGGGAAATGCAGGCCCAGAACATACTGGCTGGGAGCTGCACGCTGTGTGGAACTGGGAGACACTGGAATGAGTTTGTTAAAAACTGCTGCATCCCAGCTCAAAGCATTTCTAAACTAGCAAACAGGCTGGATAGAGCTGTTTGCTGCCACGTGGTTTGGAATGTCTTCTGCAGCACTGAAATCCCATGGCAAGGCCATGGCTCTTGCAGAATCACAGACTGGTTTGGGTTGGAAGGGACCTTCAAGATCATCCAGTCCCACCCCCCTGCATGGGCAGGGACACCTCCCACCAGCCCAGGCTGCTCCAAGCCCCATCCAACCTGCCCTTCAACACTGCCAGGGATGGGGCAGCCACAGCTTCCTTGGGCAACCTGGACCAGGCTCTCACCACCCTCACATCAAAGAATTTCCTCCTCCTGTCCAACCTCAATCTCCCCTCTGCCAGTTTTAATCCATCCCCCCTTGTCCTCTCCCTCCCTGCCCTTGTCCCAAGTCCCTCCCCAGCTTTCCTGGAGCCCCTTCAGGCCCTGGAAGGTGCTCTAAGGTCTCCCTGGAGCCTTCTCTTCTCCAGGCTGAACACCCCAATTCTCCCAGCCTGGCTCCACAGCAGAGCTGCTCCAGCCTCTGTTCATGCTCTTCTGAGCACCAGGCTGGACAAAAGGAGAGGAGAAAGGCCAGTTACACTTGGAAATGCCAGAAGCCCTGGGGCTGGTGAGCTGTTGGGGCACTGGGTTCCTGGTGGCTTCACTTCACTGGGCAGTTACTGGAGGGGGCAGGACCGTGTTTCCTTCCCCTGTTTGTGAGGTGTTTCCATTTGATACCCTGCAGCTCCTTCTCCATTTGACCTCTTGTGGGGTGACACATCCTGCTCTGGGAAGGCTGCAGGGAGCTCAGAGGACCAGTATCTGGATCCATCCTTGTAGGTTCTGCTCCTGGCTAAGCCAGGGAAGAGGGGAGAGCCCCCCCATGATGCAGGGGGACTTGTCTTCTGCCACTTGAGCCATCATCAGTCTTTCTTGCCTCAGGGCTTTCTTCATTCAGGTGCTTGGGGGTGTTTGCCCAAAGGCCTGGCTCCAAGGAGGACATCCCAGGTTTGGGGCTGGGAGCAGCTCCCACTGTGCCTGGAGCATTTTCTGTCCCCACGCCCCTCAATTTAGAGGTGTCACCAAGGGCCTGGAGGTAGGTGCTAATAAATGACATTGCAGTGATGTTGTCCCTCGAGTGCTTCTCATGCTATGAGGGGTGGGTTGTGTGTCTTCAGTGACTTGACCTCATGCTCCCAGGTGGTGACCAGGGAAGTGCTGAGCAGCCATGGATGTGCCAATAAGGAGCTCTGGGCACAGAACCTCTCCTGAGGCCACCAATGGGTGGAAGCTCATCCTGATGAAAGTCAGGAAAACTGGGGAAGGCTGGTTGCCCCTGGCTTGTTTGAGCCACAGATGCTTGTTCCCTCTTGATCTCTGAGACAACCAGAATACTTGTGTTTTAGATGATTTTGATAGTGACAAAAGTGCCCAGTTGGGCTCCCAGATGGGTTGGGCACCGCTTCTTGAGCAAGGAGAGGCTCCTTCTCCCAGCCATTATTTTTTCTTTTGGTGTGGCTCTGGAGGAGCCAGCTGCTGTGGGTGTAACCTGGACATTTTGACACAGGGAGGGAGGGGAGGTGATCCAGCCTGGAGGCACTCCAACTGTTGTCTTCTCCCCCAGGTTGACCGAGTGAGTTACCTGCTTCAGGAGATCTATGGCATCGAGAACAAAAACAACCAAGAGACCAAGGTAAAGGCTCCTGCTTGTCCCAAGTCCTCACTGTTACAAGGCCCAAACAATCCCTGGAGTTGTGCTGAGATCATTTTAAGATAGCATGAGGCTCTTGAGGATATTCCCTGGGGCTGGAATTGTTGGGAGAGAAGCCTATCAGTGTCCCGTGGGGCACAGCACTGACCTTTGGGGCTTGGAGAGAAGTGGGCCAGTGTCAGCTGCTGCTCTTGGTTCCCTGAGGCTACTGGCCAGTCTGGGTGCTTCCCAGTTTGCACAGCCAAGAATATATTAGGGGTTTTTTTTGAGCATTGCTTCCCAGGCTCCTCCAAAATCTTCCCTCTGGTGCCCACGCCACCTTCACTGCCTCTCTGCAGTTGTGTTTGGTGTGTCTGTGCTTGTGGCTCCCTCATTGTCTCCTGTTTGTTGAGGGTTGTTTGGTTTTTTTGGTGGGATTTTTTTCATGGAAGGACTCCATATTCCCACAGCACAGGGAACTGAGCTCTCCAGGCTTGCCAGTGCCCACGGAGCAGCCTGCACCCCTCAGCCAGAGGGAGCACAGCATCACTAAGGGGCTGTAGCTGCAAATACCTTAACCAGAACCATTGTCCACCTTTAGGCAGGAGCTTCTGCTGGATCCCAGCTGGCTGCACAGCCCTGTGCAGGTTCCCTGACCACTTTAATCTTAGGTGGAGCTGCCCTTTGCTGCCACCTGGGCTTCCAGACTGAACTGCTTGTGTAGTGCAATCAGCGGAGTGGCCAAAAAGAGCAGGACAAGCAGGATTTCCTCTCTGAGCCAACACAGTGTCCTGCCCAAATCGTGTTGTGGGCTCTGCCTGTGCCAACAGGCAGCACCTGAAGAGGCAGAGGGGAGAAGCCTTCTCAAAGATTTGTGTTGCACAGGATGTCTTCTAAGAGGATTGAAAGCTTATCTTTGGTTCCTCCGAAGTCTTGTGATGATTCTCTTGATCCAGCAATTTGTGGCCCATCAGACAAGTGGCCTGGGGGCATTTTTGTACTTAGGGGAGAGCAAAAAGCCTGAGCCCCCTGCCTCCCAAAATAGAGGAGTGGGACGAGGCCAAGGTGGAGGGTGGCCCATCATCAGTTTGGTGGGCCCTGGCATCACTTCTGTAGCATTGGTGGGGAGGCTGTTGGGGTGCTTGGGTGTCAGTCAGAGCTCCTGTGCTTGAGGAGTGGGTTTCTGCTTGCTCAGTGGCTGTAATCCAGTTTGTGGGGCTCTGGGTGACTGAAGGACTAGTGTGGTGCATGTTCATCTTGAACGGGGACAAACCTTTTTACCAGGGTAGCTGTGAGCAGGTTAACATTCCAGGCTGGTTCTTCTGCAGCTGCATTAGAGCTTGTGCCAGCAGAGGAGCCTGGTGAAGATGCTGTGGCAGGAGAACCTGTCCTCCCTCCATGACTTGTTCCAAGGACTCATGGAAGCTGGGTTAGACATGGCTGGAGTGCCTCCTTCTGTCCAGCCATGGGGATTATCCAGCAGCTCCTTCTGAGGCTGCTCTCTTGGGAGACAGGGGCAGAAAGGCTGGACTGCCAAAACCCTTGCTGACCCTGGGGGCCCTGGGCTGGCAGGCAGAAGCTGGTGCTTGGTCCCGAGGGGCTTCCTACCCTCGAGGGGCTCCCCTCTGCAGGCAGCCTGGCTCTGGGAGGGCCAGAATGCTGGGGATTCCCAGGACAGTGCCCTCCTCCCTGCCTTGGGTGAGCTCAGAGCAGAACCACCAGGAGTGTCCTGTGGGCTGGAGCTCCCTCTCCTGGAACTCTCCCTGCTGAGACCTGGCAGGAGGATACCAGGGAGCAGGGACTCTCAGGTGGGAAATTTCCCCAGGCTCCAGAGTCCCTTGACAATTCAGCTGGGTTCTTTCCCCTCACATCCCAACACCAGGGGGTACTTAGCACTGGTGAGGCCACATCTTGAAGTCTGTGTTCAGTTCAGGGCACCACAGTAGAAGAAAGACATGGAGGTGCTGGAGCAGGTACAGAGAAGGGCAACCAGTTGGTGAAGGGTCTTGAGGATAAGACTTATTGAGGAGCAGCTGAGGGAGCTGGGGCTGTTTAGTCTGGAGAAAAGGAGGCTGAGGAGGAACCTTCTCACTCTCTACAACTGCCTGGAAGGAGGTTGTAGAGGCAAATGCAGGTCTCTTCTCCCAGGTAACAAGTGAGAGGATGAGAGGAAACAGACTCAAGTTGTACCAGGGGATGTTTAGGCTGGATATTAGGAAAAAATTCTTCATAGAAAGGGTTGTCAGGCCCTGGCCCAGGCTGCCCAGGGCAGTGGTGGAGTCCCCATCCCTGGAGGTGTTTAGGAGAGGTTTGTGAATGAGCCCGAGGGTCACACGTGGCGTTGGCCTCTTACCGAGGAACGGCCGCTGAGGGTCCATTTCTCAGAGGGTAGATTAAAGTACCTCCCACCACGCTCACAAATTGTTACTGAGACCAATGTTTAGTTTGCAAATTAATCAGTTTATTAAGGGTCAATACAAACTAAGGGATCAAGGTTCAGGAGAGGTTGGCTGGGTGTATATTGGAAAAGGAATTCAGAGGCACTATAGTCTGTAAAAGGCACACTCTGAAGGAGAGGTGTAAATCAGTGGAGTGAAAGGGTAGGAGTTGAGCCCAGTAAGAAAGTTAAAGTGTGTGTGTGTGTGTGTGTATTTACTCTCCTTCCTGGGCGAAGTTCTTGAAATGTGCTGGGCTGGAGATCTGCAGGGGGGCCGGGCCCAGCTCTGTGGCAGATGCAGGCTGGGCAGGCTT